CGATGGGGGTCACTTCCAGAGATGCTCTGGGAACAGATATTGATACTCTGGCTCTAATCTGAGTCTCTTGCACTCAAAGACTGTGCTCATCTCATTGAACAGTTAGGGTACTGTGATGGACCATTTCTCTTTGGTCCACACCTAGTGGTATTCGGGTTTATCCTGGGTCTATGCTGAGAGATCACTATAGGCAGGGCTCAGGTGAACTGTATGTAGTGCTGGATCAAACCTCGGTTGACTGCATGTAAGACTAATAAACTATTCACTCTACTATTTTTCTGGCCTTATGCTACCTACTCAATTGGTAAATACAATGTGTTATCATCTGTAGTGCGGGCCCCAAACAGGTACTAAAATTTAGTAGTAACCAGAGAGATTTAAATATCTGAAAAATGCTCTAGGTCAAGTTTTTGTGTTATTATTTTTTTACTATCAACTGGGATTCCAGGGATCTAGTAATACTTTGAAATGTACTACAGATATCTCAATATTTATAATACAGAAGTAGTACATGGATTTAGATGTTTCCTCTGTATGCGTCTGAACTTGGTTCAACCCCCAGCACAACATATGGTCCCCAGAGCACTTCCAGGAACTTCCTTGAGCATAGAACCAGGAGTAAGCCTGAGGACAGCTGGGTGTTGTCCCCCCCAAACAAATACTTATAATATGGTTCTTCCTTTTTAGCTCTTGATATCATTACGGAGTTACAGAAGTCGTTAACTTTTTTTTATGAGTGCACTTGTTATAAGTAAAGCTTCATATTATTTTCACTCTGACTCTTCCTTGAGTGTCCCAGTCTTAGAAAAGACCACCCATCCACCCTCAGTCTCCATAAAACCACCCCCACACCCCAAAAAACAAAGCACATATTGGGCTTGGACTTAGACTGAACTCTGAAACCAGATCACTTTAAAAAACACCCTGAGATGGGGCTGGAGTAAGGCAGGTAGGGTGCTTGTCTTGCACACAACCAATATGATTTTGATCCCTTGAGCCCCATATGGTCCCTGGAGCCTGCCAGGATTAATCTCTGAGCATTAAGCCAGGAGGAAACCCTAAGAACCACCGGATATGGCCCATATCCACTCCCCATCCCCCAAATACCCTGAAATTTTTGTTACTCTACTAAAACTATATAAAAAAAATTGGGATATCTTATTGTATTCTTACAATTTATCTCAGTAAATCATTTTAGTCCTGCTTCAGTTGCTTTGATTCTGGACCTTCCTAATGAATGAGTATACAGTACTCTTTAATATTCAGTAAAGGTTGGAGGTGACATAGGTAACACTGCATTATGAAGAACATTAATAAAATGGGTACAAAACCAAAAGATATGACAACATTTTGATAAATGCAATTTGTTTGGAGAAATATGTTTTTTCCAGTTTTATAAAAAATACTATAGTCATAACAGGATAATCTTAATACATAAAAATTTTTTGTTTTAAAACTAAATACAAGCAAATTTGATATACTGAATTATCAGTTAGACCTTAAGAAATCATAACTTTGGGGCTGGAGTGATAGCACAGTGGGTGGGGCATTTGCCTTGCACGCAGCTGACCCAGGTTCGATTCCCAGCATCCCATATGTTCCCCTGAGCACTGCCAGGAGGAACTCCTGAGTGCAGAGCCAGGAGTAACCCCTGTGCATCACCGGGTGTGACCCAAAAAGCAAAAAATAAATAAATAAATAAATAAATAAATAAATCATAACTGTGCCAAGAGGGTGGGGCACTTGAAACATTTGTCCTGGGCTGTTGATACTGGTGGTGGGTGTGTACCTAGAATTCTATCATAGTATTGTAAGTCAAAGTGCCTATGGAAATACATATCACTGGTGACGGGCAAGTTAAAAGCATTACGCACTTGATTTTTGCTTCAGGCCTCCTCTTGCCATTCTTTCCTGTGTTAAACTGGATGCTGATGCTGGGCAATTAAACTTTTGCAACAACATCCACAAGCAAATCCTTATCATATGCTTCTTAAGATGAATTGTTTTGTTTTGTTTTAAACTTCTGATTAATATAAAAGAACCGGGCATTTCAGATCAGCATGTCTCAAGTTTCCTCTGTAACTAGCGATAGGAAGTTAGGATCACATGGAATAACACTGTAATCTGTACTAAATTATGTGCTGTGCTTACATTTCTTTTCAAAGCAAGCTGCTTCTATATATATTCACTTTTCACCTTTATATAATTCAATTTATAGAACTATCTGAAATGGAATACCTTATTCACTTCATTTCTCCCCTTGTGAAATTAACTTTCCAAGAATACACATCTAAAAAAATCTGTTTTTAGCATATTTCATTTTTATTACACTTCTATTACAACCATTAAAAATATCTGCAATGATCTAATGTGCAGCTCATAATGCTGTCATAAACTATTCACGAGCATCCTAGTGACAATTAAATACCACTTTGACTGCAAGCTCAGAACTTCACACAGTGCCCCAATTTTAAAAAGACTTGATCTTTCTTTGTCAAAGGATATTGTTTTTGTTTAGGTTTAATTAGGCCTTTCCTCTTGTGGTCTTTAAAGAAACAGTGTTGTCACTCATTCATTCAATTGTCTTCTATGTATCTTTCACTATTGTAGGATTCTAAGTGCTGAGGACACACAGAAAAAAAAAATCCATCATTGAAAAAAAGCAGAAAAATCCCTGATCTCATGGATCTTACATTCTAGTCAAGACTCTGACTTACACCTTACACTCTGTTAGCAAATATAAGAACAATGAAGGAAACAAGAAAGAAAAAAACCTGAAGCAAGGATGTTGGAGGAAGGGGTACTATTTTTTTTTTCTTTTTGGGTCACACCCGGTGATGCTCAGGGGTTACTCCTGTGTTACTCCTCACTTTGCGCTCAGGAATCACTTCTGGCGGTGCTTGGGGGGTGGGGACACACCATATGGGAATCACCCCGGGTCAGCCCCATGCAAAGCAAAGGCCCTACCCCCCTACCCGCTGTGCTACTGCTCCAGCCCCAGGAAGGGGTACTATTTTAATGGGATGCTCAGAGTAGGATTGGGTAAAAAAAAAAAAGGGGGGGACTTTAAAAAAAAAAAAAGGACAGGTTAGATCCTGCCATGCAGCTATCTGTTGGAAAGATCCTTCCAAAGAACTTAACAGTTAGTGCAAAGGCCTCAGAGTAAGAGGATGCCCTCCTGTTACAGGAGCAGAAATGGGCCAGTGTAGCTGGAACTAAGTGCTTAAAAGGAGGTCACAGAAGTGGATGTGGAATGGAATATAGGGAACTTAAGAGCATGAGTTTTTGTAGGTCACATAAAGAACTGGGAACTAATGATTTTGGATAGCTTCTGAGTCTGTAGACAAACTCTGAAATGTTCAAAGGATATTCACAATATGCCACAGGCTGGGGAAAAAACCCTCAAGTTCTGTACATACTTAAAATGCCTTGCTTTTGGAATAGTAAAGAAAATGGTCTACTCTGGTTAGATATCTAAATTACTTTTACCAGTTTCTATCTTAAATATTAATAAGCTGCCTTCTAGGTTTTCTTATTTACAGGTTGGAACAGTACTTACAACCTTGGAACAGTATCTTTTTTCAGGTCACTAGCTGTTTCATGTATCTCTTCGTTTCCCTTATTATCTTTAATCCTGATAATGTTTTCCAATATCAGTAACACTTTTTATTGTGTTATCGAGGGCAGAGTTTCGCTAGTCTAACAATGCGGTAATTATGTGTTAGATGCAGATTAAAACAAGAAAAATCGACTATACCTCAATTAGTTGAACTAAGTCAAACGGGGATTTTATTTTTGGAAATTCTGCATGACTGTATAAATGAACCACTTTTGTTTACTTGCTGATAAAACATGGAACCGAGATTACGGCTTTGAAGCTCCTTTCCTTTCTATTTTAGAAATAAGTGCAATACAGTAAATTTTATTTTGCATAGTCAGCTCTGGGGAACCACTAAACCTTGGTTTCCCAGGATGGCTTTTGCTGTCTTAAGAGTAAGATGGTGCCGTAAATTAACTCTGAACATTTACTTTTAAATTACAATGGAAACTGGTTCCACGTCCACAAGCGAGTAAACACACTTGGGCCACTTGTTTAGCCGAACGACTTCAGGTGGCAGCGACTACCTCCAATCTCACCCATCTAGCGGGAGGCATTGGTTGGTATCTCTGCACCGGGAGTTCCAGAATTTCATTATTATTTTAACTGAGACTATACACAACGATATTCCCTTAAATTTACCCTGACACATATGGTAGCAAAAGTTAAGTAGTGCTATTGCAATTAAAAGTAAAGGCAGCATTTCCCCCCAACTTTTTCATTTCCTTCCTTCTTTTAAAAGAAGTTTGAAATTACGTTCTCATCGCTACGCGGGTGCTGGTCAATCACCCAATCAGCTAGGGCGCCACAGCTAGGAACAGGGTAAAGCTGATACACCTGTATCATTTTTACAACCTGCCGCTCACCGGGTTTTGCTAAAGACGCTCTCGCAGGATGCGTCAGGCAAGATACAGGGAAGTTTCTGGGAAAGTTTCCGAGATCCGGCCGCAGTGAGAGAGGTTCCGATCACACATAAGACCCAGAGCAAACAGAACCTCCGGCTGGATCTTCGGTACCTACGGGGCCCCAGGAAATGCGCGAGGCGAGTTTTCCTCCGGGACAGACGCCGCGAGCCCGAGCCCCGCGACCTCCGCAGCGCGCCAAGTGGAAGACTCGGCCTCCGTCTCTGCTGCTGCCCGCCCGAGGGCTCCCGCGACCTCGGCCGGCGGCGGAGGACCAGCCGGTCCCGCCGGCTCCCGCCCCCGCGGCACGCCGCGGGCTCCTTCCGCTCCTCCCCGCGGTCCCCGATGGGCTCGGCCGCCCGGCCCCTGAGGCCTCAGCGTCGCAGCTGGGCGGCCGCCTCCGCGGCTCCTCGCGCCGGCGCTATGGAGACGGTCACGAGACGCCGGCGGCGCCGGCGGCGGCCAATCGGAGCGCACGTCGCGGGGAGACGCGGACGTCGCTCTTCCAAGATGGCGGCTCGTCCGTCGCGAGCTGCCGGGCCGGGGGGAAGCCTGCGAAGCCTAGTACAGCCGCCGCCCGGGACTGGACCGAAGGAGCTGTCGCCGCCGTTGGCGGCGGCTCGGGCCCTTTTCGCTGCTGCTACGGCTGTTGCCATGCGGCGAGGCTAGGGAGGAGCGCACTTCCGCGGGGTGTAATAATGTTAACAGAGGTAAGCGGCCACGGCGACCGGTGTTTACCTGTGAAATGGGGAAGGGGCCGGTGCCAGCCGGTCCGAGTCGAGCATTTGGGCTGCCGGCAGGCCCGAGCCCCGGCGCGAACTCCCCGGGCCCCCCACCCAGAGCGGCGGGGATCCTACAAGTGCTCCCCCCCTCCCCTGGCTCGGGGCTGTGCTGACTCAACCAGAGTCCCCCGACCTCCGGTTGCCTGTGCCGCCTCTTCTCGCAGTTGACACTTGCACGCTCGCCCTCGGCACGGCTCTCCGTCCCGCTGTCGCGCCCTCCCCTCACTCATCACTTCCTTCGGGGTGTCTCCTGACGTTTTGGTCTGTGGCCGACGCCGTCGGTCGCCGCGTTGCAGTGGCTTCCTCCCCAACCGCCCGGGGTCTTGCCTGCCTTTCGGGGTCCCTTAGCCGCCGGGGCCCTGCGCCTCCGAGCTCGGTGTGCATCGAGGGGCTGTCATTCGGCCACACCAGTGCTTCCCGGACGCCACTTGGTCCACTTTCTGGAGCGAACCTGTCCCCGCCCGGCCAGCAGCAGCGCGCGGGTCGCCCCCTGCCATCAAGCCCCCCCCCCCCCGCCCCCCTTTCCCACAGCCGGCCAAGTCCCTTCGCTGCAAATCCGGTTCCTTAGGAAAGTTCAGTGTCAGCCTCGCCCCCCTCTTGGATGGTTTTGCTTCAGGTTCCCTTGGTGCTCGCTCTCTCGGGGGGGAAAAAAAAAGAAAAAAGAAAAACTTGGATCTGACGTGGAAGTAGGGCAGCTGTGACCAGCTAATTCGTTTCCCTTTTCTAAGTGTCTGATGTCGGTTGCAGAGAGCAGAGTTTCTGAAGAAGTAGTTTCCCTTTGCTAGCCAAGCTTGGCAGGGGAAGGGCGGAATTGATGCAAATGGGGGTACTGGACCCGAGATTGCAGAACCTTGTGTCGAGGTGTTTGTGGGCAGGGGCGTCACGGAAGAGAAAACCCGAAACTCGTGGGTTGGAGGAAGTATCTTTTTTCCAAGCCGGGACCCCGTTGAAGTTCTAGCAAGATTCCCAGGGTCAGCCGTCAGGTGCTTGTTGGGCGTCGTGTGGAATGAATTAAGGATTGACAACAGGTTTAATGGGCAGTAAGGATTGTATGTGAAGTATTTCGTCTTGTGCAAAAAAAGAAGGGGAGAAAAAGCCTTTGTCAATGAGTGGCATTTGTTGTGTGGAAAATGACACTGAAGTGATACTTAGTTGTCTTTGCAAACTTGGCTTAACTTGAGGGAACGGCATGCTTTTTTATATTAGTGTTTAGTAGTCCGCGCCCAGAATCTCGTGTGTGTTGTGTCTAGTAAATACTTAACTGGTTGATTTTTAACTAATGGATGACTCTTTTTTCAAAGATTTTTCATTTCTGTAACTTGTGGTTCGTCATAAGTGTCTGTTGTCATTAGCAGTATTATGTTAAAAAAAAAGTTCGGAAGTTTGCTTTTTTAGATTCAGCGTGAGATTTGATTGGAATAAATAGCCTTACAAGTTTCAGTGGTTTCTTTAATGTACATTGTCTTAGGAAATGATCTTTTGATTGAATTTAGGTTACCTTGTTTTTTTTGTTTTGTTTTTGTTTTGTTTATAGGCTCCACCTGGCTGTATTCAGGATTTACTTCTAGCTCTGCACTCGGGGATCACTCTTGGTGGGCTTGGGAACCCTATGAGTGCTGGGGATCAAATCCTGGTCTGTGGGCAAAGCAAGCACTTTACCCACTGCACTATCTCTCCCGCCCTAGGTTAACTTGCTTCAAATAAATTTTATTTTATGCTTTATATGTACTGCTTGTTGGTGAAGTGATAGCGTCTTGATTTGGAAACACTGAACTTTATAATCACCATTTTATTGTAATTACATCTTTTAGTGAAACCTTTTAAGTAATCAAATGACAATGGTAAAAAAAGATGTACTTTAGTACTGTTTCTCTTTCTCTCTCTCTAATATATATATATAGTGCATAGTTTCTAAGAGTTTAGTCAAAATTCCAACCTTGATAATCCATAGTAGTTCTTTCAGCCACTGCGCTGGGATTCCTCTTCAAAGTAAGACCCACATTCAATGGTATTTGGATTTCATTATGTTTTTAGTTGTCATATTATGGGTTGAAAAAAACTGAAGCCCAGAGACTTTTCCAAGGTCAGACAACTTTTAGTGACAAAGGTGAAATTAGAATTCCATCTCGTGATTCTCAGAACAAAACTCTGTAATTTTATAGTACTTTTCAGCTCTCTTGGGAGGTTTTAAAACATGCTACTTCCTCATCTGACTACTGTCTGAGGATAAACTGAAAATTTTCATTTCTTGGGAAAGATTTTTTTTTTTACCATACACTTTTACCTCCAATCAGACTTGTCGACCCGCTGAATTAAAGCATATTAGTTAGCTGAGGAAAAGAAACTAACCAGGATTCCCTCAGCAATAGTGAGTGAACAGGGAAGAGCCCAGCACCAAATCTCTGCCTCTTGGTGGGGTGCAGGACATGTGGCGTTTGGAAGACCCACTTCCCGGTGCTCATGGGGGGCCTAAGTTCTTCTGATCGAGGCCCATTTTTTTGGTCTGGAGCGATAGATAGCACAGCTGGTGGGGCGTTTGCCTTGCATGCATGCAGCTGACCCGGGTTCAATTCCTCTGTCCTTCTCGGAGAAGCTGGCAAGCTACCAAGAGTATCCCGCCTGCATGGCAGAGCCTGGCAAGCTCCCGGTGGCATATTTGATATACTAAAAACAGTAACAAGTCTCTCACAATGAAGACTGGTGCCCGCTGGAGCAAATCGTTGAATAATGGGAGGACAGTGCTACAGTGTTAGATTTTTTTAAAAAAGGCTCAGAGATAGTCTTGTTTTGAAATAGTTTAGATATTAAATTTTGCTCATTCTCACTGTCACACTGTCCTCCCGTTGTTCATCGATTTTGCTTGAGCGGGCCCAGTAACGTCTGCATTTTGAGACTTGTTGTTACTGTGTTTGGCATATTGAATACATCACGGGTAGCTTGCTAGGCCTTGCCTTGCAGGCGAGATACTCTCGGTAGTTTGCCAGGCTCTCCGAGAGGGGCGGAGGAATCGAACCCAATCCAGCTTGGCCAGGCTAACTCTGCGCAAGGCAAATGCCCTACCACTGTACTATCGCTCCAGCCAAATTTTGCCCATTGGTTATTAAAATATTAGTAATGAGTTCTCTTTTTGTTTTAACTGCTTCTGTTATTGCTAGAGTAGAGCTAATCAAGTTTTAGGGGATATGACTTAAGTTTACGCTAGATTTCAGAATGTATCATGAAAAGTTCTCAGATTCAACAAACATACTGTGCTTACAAAGTGGTGAATCTTTTCAATTTGAGGTAGGTGATAGTATCTCCATTAATAAGATGAGAATACTGGTTGAGAAGTAAAATTTTATAACATCTTTGTACAGTGGGTAGGATGCTTGCCTTGCACATGGCTGACCTGGGTTCGATCCTTAGCACCCCATGTAGTCTGCCACGCCTCCCCTCCCCCAAGAATAGGAGAAAAGAACAAGAAATTACAGGTTAATAGTTACAGGAGTAAAATGTTTTGGTTCAAATAAATCCGGAAGGTATTTGCCTAGAGATAATAGGTTTGTTGCTGAAGAATTTCTCATTACTAGGGGCCAAAGTCGGTGGGGCGTTGCCTTACAGGGCTGATCCTTGGTATCCCATTTTCCGGCATCCCATATGGTCACTCTAACACCATGAGGAGTAGTTCCCGAATGTAGAGCCAGTAGTAACATGTGACCCAAAAAGCCAAAAAAAAAAAAAAAATTCTCATAGCTCTTGACATTGTAAAGTAAATCACATTGTGGATTTTTATAACTTTAGTGACGGTCATGTTTGATTTTTTTGGTGTTGATTTGATCGTTCACTGGCTGCACATATTAACATAATTTCTGGGTATTTCCATGAGAGCATATTAGACAAGAAAATGAGATGACTATATGACTTTTTAGAGTAGCTTCTTTTGAATTGGATTTGTGCCCTCCCCCCCTTTTTTTTTCCTCCTCCCATATTTCACTTCTGGAAGTAAATTATTTTATTTAATCTTTTTCTACTTTTGGATGGAGACTGATATCACAACTCACCTAATTCTCAGACCTTTGTACTTGAATTATAACGCTTGTTTTTCTTGTGCCTCCTCAGGAAGTACATCTATATTTCATTGGTTATTTCTCTGAAGGACCCACTAATAGAGATTCTTATAGCGCTTCCCCTATTTAACTTTGGGAAATCTTGAGATGTGACAGTATTTGGGAAGAGTCTTTGGATTTTCAGGGTTTTTAAAAAAATGTGCTCATGGAAGTACAACCTCTTGATCCTAATAAAATGTTTTGGATGTTTTGTTGAATAATAGATTTGTGATAGAGACTCTTGCGGGGGCTGAAGAGATAGTACAGAGGGCAGGATGCTTGCCTTACCTGTGTCCAACCAAGATTTGATCCCCAGCACTCTATAATGGTCCCCTGAGCTTTATCAGAAATGATCCAGGGGCAGAAGTAAGTCCTGAGTACAACCTGGTGTGCCTTCCCACAAAACAAATAAAAAGACTCTTGGGATGAATTACTCTTTAAACAGCATGAGTTATTCAATTATTAATGATATTGAAAAGACTGTTAACCAGACATAGATCCATTGATATTCAAAAAATGTTAAATGAGAAAGGGATTTTATAAGGGGAAGGAAGGTCATCATTGTCTACAATATGTCTATCTTGCTACACTATATAGAGCAATGTCTATTATCTTTTGACAAGATAAGTTTAATATTAATGAACCATTTCTTAAGAATTTAAAATGGTGTTTGTAGGGGCTGGAGAGATAGCACAGCCGGTAGGGTGTTTGCCTTGCACGCAGCCTACCTGGGTTCGATTCCCAGCATTCCATATGGTCCCCTGAGCACTGCCAGGAGTAACTCCTGAGTGCAGAGCCAGTAGTAACCCCTGTGCATCGCCAGGTGTGACCCAAAAGCAAAAA